ATCCTTGAACTTGAAAAGTGCATATATGTTTCTGAACTTAAAAGGAATTTGATTTCCTTAGGTTAATTAGATGTTAAATACAATATCATGATTCATAAAAGTCTTTTAAGACTCAAACAAAGAAGTAAAACTGTTATATCCTCTCTGAAATTAAATGGGATCTACAATGTCTCTGATGATCTTGTGGTTCATCACTGTACTGCAGCCTTAAATATTGAGTCTAATAAGTCTTTAATTTAGCATCAAAGACTTGGTCACATTTCTGAAAAGGGACTTACCATTTTAAATAATTTTGGTTGTTTTGGTAAAGACAAACTCAATAAGTTAGACTTTTGTGAAAATTGTGTTTTTGGAAAACAAAAAAGATTGTCTTTCAAAATTGGAACACATAAATCCACTTCAATTTTGGATTATCTACGTGCTGACCTTTGGGGTCCAACATCTGTAAATAGTCTAAGTGGATTTATGTTCTATTTACTTATAGTTGATGATTTTTCAAGGAAAATATGAACTTTTCTGTTAAAACATAAATCAAACACTTTTAAGACTTTTAAACAATGGAAACTTTTGATTGAAAACCAAACCGACAAGAAAATCAAAGCATTAAGGACTGATAATGGTTTTGAGTTTTGTAACTCAGAATTTAATTCATTTTGTAAAGAATCTGGAATCCTAAGACATAGAACTGTAACATACACACCTCAGTAAAATGAAGTTGTTGAGAGAATGAATAGATATCTTTTAGAAAAAGTGAGATGTATGCTTTACAGTTTTGGTTTTCCTAAGTTCTTTTGGGGAGAAGCCCTAAAAACTGCAACTTATCTTATAAATAGGAGTCCTTCTAGTGCCATTGATCTTCAAGTTCCTAAAAAATTATGGTCTGGAACAATACCTGATTATAGTAGGCTAAAAGTTTTTGGCTGCACTGCTCATTTACATCAAAGTGAAGGTAATCTTGAACCAAGATCCCTAAAATATGTTTTTCTAGGATATGGAGATGATGTCAAAGGTTATAGACTGTGGGTCAGATGCCAAAATGGTTATAAAGTAATTGTTAGTAGAAATGTCATTTTTAATGAAGATGACATGCCTTGTAATGAATCATCTAATCTTAAAGCTCTTGAAACTACATCAGTTAAGGAAACTGTCCTGGAAAATCAATCTGAAAATGCTGTTATTCAAGAAGATTTTGTTGAGGTGGAGTCTACTTAAACTGATCTTCAACTTGTTCAAACTGAATCTGAAAATGAGCTTGAATCTTCTGAAACTGCACTTACTAATTATCAATTAACCAGAGATAGAGAAATGAGAGAAATAAGACCTTCAACCAGATTCAATAATGATGAATTTGTTACCTTATTTTTTGCTCTTGACTCTATGAATCCAGAACCTGTTTCTTTTGATGATGCTATGAACTGTTTTGATTCTAAGTTTTGGAAAGAGGCTATGAATGAAGAAATAGATTCCCTTACTAAAAATGGAACATGGATTTTGGTTGACTGACCTAAAAATCGAAAGGTTGTTGATTGTAAGTGGATACTATAAAATAAAACAAGGAGATTCTAATTTTGAAAATAAGAGGTATAAAGCCAGATTAGTCGTTAAGGGGTTTACTAAAAAAGGAGTTGACTATAATGAGATTTTCTCACATGTGGCTAAGTATACTTCTATCAGAATTTTGTTAGCTCTTACTTCTCATTTTAATTGGGAATTGGATCAACTTGATGTTAAAACAACTTTTCTAATGAAGACTTGAATGAGATTATATATATGAATAGACCTTTGGGATTTGAAGTAAAATCAAAAACTGATAAGGTGTGCTTCTTGAAAATGGCTGAAACAAGACTCCAGGCAGTGATATATCGAATTTAATACCTATGATTAGAAATTGGGCTTTGTAAGAAGCAATTATGATTCATATTTCTTCTTCGAAGGGCCAAGTGGACCTGAATTCATTTATTTGCTCCTATATGTGGATGATATATTTTTTGCTTGTCTTGATAGATCTGAAATTGACTCTATTAAGTCTAAATTGAAATCTGAATTTGAAATGAAAGATTTGGGACAAGCTAAAAGAATACTTGGAATGAAAATAGAAAAGGATATGGATAATTGCATATTGTTGTTGAAACAAAGTTCTTATGTGAAGAAAATACTTGAAAATTTTTCTATGCTTGATTGTAAACCTATGACTTTATCCATTGCTAATCATTTTAAACTGACTAGTAAACATCACCTAAAATAGAAGATGAACTTAGTAGAATGAAAAAAGTTCCATACGCTAACACAATAGGTTCAATTATGTATCTCAAGGTTTACACTAGACCTGACTTAGCTCATGGAATTAGTATCTTAAGCAGATTTATGGCCCATTCAGCTAAAACTCACTGGCTGGCTGTAAAGTGGATGTTAAGATATTTAAAGGGTTCATCTGATTTAGGTTTAGAATTTAAAAAGAGTAAGGAAGGAATAAAGTTAAACAGTTACACTGATTTTGATTTTGCTGATGACTTAGATAAAAGAAGATCCACATCTTCATATATTCTCACTTTGTGTGATGGCTGCATTAGTTGGAAGTCACAATTACAAAAATTAGTTGCCTTATCCTCAACTGAAGCTGAATTTATTGCTGCATGTGATGCTGTGAAAGAAAGTATGTGGCTAATTGGCTTGTTAAATGAAATTGGCTTTGCTGATGATTCTGTTAAGATATCTACTGATAACCAAAGTGCCATTCATCTTAGTAAAAATCCTGTTTATCATGATAGAACAAAACATATAGATATTAAGGGCTTGTGTGGGAGGGATTAAAATCAGATTAAAATTGAAAATATAGCCGTTATTGTTGACTTTTATTAGACGAGTGGGGCCCAATAACGGCCATATTTTCAATTTTAATTGGCTTTTAATCCCTCCCGAACGGGGCCTAAGTTTCATTTTGTAAGAAACAAGGTTGAAAATGGTTTGATCAAGTTAAGATTCTAACATAATACAATTCTTCAGATTTTGGGACTAAGGTACTACCTTTAAATAAATTCAGAAATTACTTGAAGATTTTGAATATCACTTGATGTGATAATTATAACTTCAAGTAGTGTTAATTGAATATAGTTGAACTAATTTTTGTTTTTTGTTTTGTATGTTTTTTGAGCAAATGAAGCAAAGTAAGTATAGCAATTCTAGATCCATTAAGTGAGCTAAAGAATAGCTCAGCAAGGTGGAGATTGTTAATTGTATTGGTCTGCCTCACTATACTTTGGGTTGGACCTTGTTTGCTGTTTGGACCGTTAAATGAAACGGGTTGTGGCCTCAATTGAATTAATGTTATCTGCCGTACACGTGTCCCATACTCTGCCCTTGGATGCTAACTGTTCATATTACTTGGTTGACTTGGCTCTTTGGGTTATTGACATTCGAGAGCCTTCTATTCTCTCTTCATCTCTCTGTTTTCCTTTTTCTCTCGGAGTGAAGTTTAGAGTTTCATGATTTCTTGTAATCGTAATCGATCTTAGTGTTTTCTTCAATCCTATTCATGGTTTCTTGTAATCGTAATCAATTTCCACGTAAACATCAAAAGCGATTGCGTGTAAATTTAAAAAAAAAAAATCGATCACAGAAAATAACGAACCTATCGTTACGTATATTCACAGCTTTCTTAAAAGAATCCCTTTTGATCAAAATCCTCTGCTTCTTCCGAAAAATGTATTTTTGATCACCGATAGATGAAGAAGTTGCCTTATAAGCGTGAAATCTCAACTGGCATTGCCTTGTATTAAATATTGAGGTTACACCACTTACATAGGTTGGTTGGGTCATCACGGAACACGGATTGCTCTTTGCCGTTATGGGAAAACTATTTTAATTATTTATTCATTTTTTAAATAAATAAAAATAAGAGACAGACCATGTTCTCCATTCTTATATCTGGACATAAAATTTTACCGTAACATATTCGACTAGTACATAATACAATTTGAGTCCGATCGAGAATTTATGCGTGGCCGTTTGAAGAGAAATGATCTAATAAACATCAATATTCATCTTATTCTTATCTGAATATAATATTATAAGTTGTTTGATGTTTATTAACTTTTAAATAATTATAAACTTTATCGAGCGCTCGTGTCCCGACATTCAATTAAGTTATTTGTACATTAAGTTGAACGCCTTTATTAATAGATGAGTGATATGATAAGATTGTGATGGTAGAACTAATGTGCGAGATGCAAAATATGCCGTGAAACTGTACGAATTATAAATTCGATAAACTAGTACGTAAATCAGGAATCTGACCTTAAAATAAGTTCACTACTAGAAGGACCCACGTGCATTATAGATTAAACTATAGCAAGATGTGACTTTTTGGATTTTTCATATTATATTAAAAGCTTGTTTGTTTGGGATTCTCAAATTTTACAATAAATCAATTCTCATTTTTAACCACATATTTTTCAATAAAATAATATTTTCCATCACATCAATAATTTTTTCTTCTTTTTCAACCACACATTTCTCATCATATCACTATTCAAAATCAATTATTCCCCCAAAAATCCCTCTCAAACAAGCAC